TGACACTACTTTGTCCTCAAATATTTGGGCTCATGCTTTTTTTAAAAAAATACCGATTTATTTACAAAGTTCAAACACATTGTTTTTCACATCAGATCTTTCCCATTTCCTTCAACCCCCTGTGAATCAAATTGTGCTATCCTATGATTAACTGTCCTGTCCTCATCCCTCTGCATCCACCCCCCAGCCCCCCTTGAATCCTCATGCTCCTTCTAAAATAATGGTTTTATACAATATTTATCCTTGTGGGACTGAGTTAATGCACTCAGCATAATGTTCTCCAGTCCCTCCCAAGTTAGGTAGTAATTTACAAAATCTTTGCTCCTGCATGCTGCATTCCATTGTGTGAATGTACCACAATTTTTCAATCCATTCCATTGTGGTTGGACATCTGGGCTGTTTCTATGTTCTTTTGATGGTGAATATTGCTATGAACATTGGTGTACAAGTCTCTGTTTGAGCCTCAATTCTCATTTTCTCAGGGTATATTCCTAGCAGTGGAATAGTGGAACAGCATAGACATTTCCAGTTGTGGAAATGCTGTCATTAGGATAACATTTGGTAATATTTTTTGTCAAGAGTGTATAGCTGAAAGCCCCTAGGCCTACTTCTGCTCCTAAGCACTGTGCTCAGCCTCTGTGGTCACATGAAGTACTGAAACACACTGCAAACCCTTCCACATCACTGGTGTTCTGCTCACACTCAGGTGAGCACCAGGTGGCTTGGAGAGGCACTTGATTTTGTGAAAAACCTCTTACGGCCAGAAGTGGCCTCCCAGCCAGCGGGAGCAGCAGGCAGGGTGGGGGAGCCCCCTGGAAAGTTATGGGGGGCGGGGAGAGGAGAAAGTGGCCCTGGAATGGAGCCCCTGGATTCACCTGAGAAGGGTATGGGGTGGAAGCAGATGAGCTTGGGGGGAGCAGCTTCAATGGTACAGGTGCATTACCTTATGCTAATTTGGCTGGAATAGAGCAGGGTTGTGAGTGGTGGTGTTGGAAGTCCCTGAGTAAGGTCGTGGGGTGGAGAGCTGTGCAGAGTTGAGAACTATGGAGGGCACCAGTGTGGAGAACTGTGGAATGTGTCAGTTTTGAGGACTATGGAGGGTGTCATTGTTCAGGTCTATGGAGGGATTCACTATTGAGGGCTATGGAGGGTGTCAGTGTTGAGGCCTATGGAGGATGTCAGTTGGTTTCTCTTGTCCCTGGAGCCTGGTCAAGCATGTGGGACAAAGCTGATGTTTTATCAGTGTTGTGAGTGTCAAATGAGAGTGTATGGGGAGAAAGAAATATAGGTGAGGCCAGGAAAAACATCCTAGGAAGGAGAAAGGCAGTGCTTGGAGGCAGGGAAAAGGTTCTGTTCAGAGCCAAACTCATCTGCCAACTGAGCTAGGAGACATTAGCAGGTATAACTGCTAGCTTGCTTACACACACACACACACACACACACACACATACAGTCGCACATGTATACAGGCAAGCACATGATTTGCACACATTCACACACACACACACACACACACACACACACACACACATCTACACGGAGTCTTGGTCCATTCTAGTACCTTTCCTGCCTCACTTTGTCTAATTGACTTACACATCTTTCAAGAATAATCAGAGCTAATGTAACTCTTACTCTGGGCTGTTGTCAAATGTATAATGCCTAATCACAAATTCCTTTTAAGCAGTACTTTCCTTCATATGTTCCAATGCAGTATTCATTATTTATCCCCTCTTTTCTTAGTTTCCCCCTACCCTCATGTTACTCCTATTTTATAACAGTGGCACTATGCAGTATTTGTCCTTTTGTGACAAATATATTTCTCTCCACATAATATCTTCCAGAGTCACCCATATTGTATAGTATTTTATGAATTCTTTGTGTTTCAGTGCTGTGTAATACTATTGTGTGACTATACCATGTTTGTCTGTTAATTCATGTATTGATGGGCACTTGGGTCCCTTCTATCTCTTTGATGTTGTGAATAATACAGCAATAAATATAGACGTGCATATATTTGTTTGGATGGCAGCTCTGGTTTCTTTAAGGTATATTCCCAGTGGTGGAAGTGCTAGGTCAAATGGTATTTATATTTCTGTTTGAGAAAGTGCCATACTGCCTTCTATAGTGGTTGCTCCATTTTACACTCCCACCAGCATTGTCTCCAGAGCCTCTCCAGCATTTGTTGCTTGCTGCTCTGTTGAATTTTGCTACTGTTACTGGGGTAAGATGATTGCAAAGAGGGCTGAGGGGAGGGGGAGATGGAGGTAATTGTGCAATAATGAAGACTATTTTTAAAAAGTGAACTTGGGGGGGAAAGAAGATGGGATAAAATGTGTAACAATTCATGAATAAATGAAAATCTAAAAAAGGGGGGGCTTCACTTTAAGAACACGAACTAGGCAAGGATGCCCATTATCACCTCTCCTATTCAATATTTTATTGGAAGTCTTGGCGGTAGCAATGAGACAAGAGAAGAAAATGAGAGGAATCCAAATTGGCAAAGAGGAGGTAAAATTATCTCTCCATGCAGATGATATGATAGTATAATTAGAAAACCCTAAAGGCTCAGCACGAAAACTATTGGATATGGTTGACCAATTCAGCAAAGTAGCAGGATACAAGATAAACATACAAAAATCAGTTGGATTTCTCTACAGTGACGAAGAGAACATAGAGCTGGAGCTAAGAAAAACAATACCCTTCACAATAGCTAATCACAAGATTAAATACTTGTGAGTAAATCTAACCAGAAGCACAAAGGGTCTTTTCAAAGAAAATAAAAAAAAACAACAACATTATTACAAGAACCAAAAAAAGACCTGAAGAAGTGGAAGAATATCCCTTGCTCATGGATAGGAAGACTCAATATTGTGAAAATGGCAATACTACCAAAGGCAATTTGCACATTCAGTGCAATCCCAATACAAACACCAATCCCATTCTTCAAGGAGATAGAAAAGGCAAACTCCAGTTTCATTTGGAATGGAAAGAAGCTCCAAATAAGCAAAGCACTCCTTAAAAATGTAAAAAAGGTAGGAGACATCTCTCTCCCTGATTTCAAATCCTACTACACTGCCATGGTGGTTAAGACAGCATGGTACTGGTACAATGACAGACACATAAATCAATGGAATACAATTTGGAACCGGAAATCAGACCATCTACCTATGGTCAACTGATTTTTGACAAGGAGATTAAATCAGTTAAGTGGGGAAGTGACAGCCTTTTAAACAAACAGTGTTGGCAAAATTGGAAAACTGTTTGCAGAAGACTCAAGCAAGATCCCCACCTCACTCCATATACAAAAACCAACTCAAGGTGGATCATGGACCTAGGACTAAAACCAAGGACTATAAACTTCATTCAAGAAAAGCTTGGAAGAACTCTAGTAGTCCTAATCCACAACATAAAAAGTCTTCGAAGTATCCTGAAAAATCTACAACAAGGAGAAGATAAAACAGATGAATGGGACCATCTAAGAATCAAATCCCTATGCATATCCAAAAACTATTCCAACAGGATAATAAGGGAAGCCTCAGACTGGGAAAAATTATTTGATAATGACATGTCAGATAAGGGACTTATATCCAGAATTTATAAAATACTTGAGCACCACAGTAAGGTAAAGGTAAAAAATCCAATTGAAAAATGGGCACGAACAGGATATGAACAGACACTTCACCCAAGAAGACATTCAGATGGCTAACAAGCACATGAAGAAATGTTCAAAATCCCTAGCTCTAAGAGAGATGCAAATCAAAACAACTATGAGATACAATCTCACCCCAGTAAGAATAGCAAAATTTAACAGAACAGCAAGCAACAAATGCTGGCGAGGCTGTGGAGAAACTGAAACTCTTATTCACTGTTGGTGGGAATGTAAAATGGCGTGACCTTTGTGAAAAAGCGGTGTGGCACTTTCTCAAAAAGTTGCAAATAGAGATACCATTTGACCCAGCAAGCCCATTACTGGGAATATACCCCAGAGAGACCATAACTGCCATCCAAGCAGATATATACACACCCATGTTTATTGCAGTTTTGTTCACAATAGCAAGGAGGTGGAGACAACCTATGTGCCCATCAACAAACGAATGGATAGAGAAGCTGTGGTATATTCACACAATGGAATACTACACTGCATTGAAAAGCAAGGAACTCTTGCACTATTATTCAAAATGGGTGACCCTGGAGGACATTATGCTGAGTGAAATATCTCAGTCACAAAAGGACAAATACTGCATGGTGCCACTGTTGTAGAATGGGACTGACATCGGGGTTGGGTAAGACTGAGAAAAAACTGGATATGTTATGTATACTGTATTGAAACAGATGAGGGAAAGAACAGATTAGACTGAGTATGACTGAGTATTATGGTTAACACAGGATTGCAGAATTAAGGTTGCATAGAGAGGTGTACTTGGTGTGGGGGGTCGGGGGGAATGGGGGAATTGTAAACCAATGAAGGAATTTTTTTTCTTTTTCTTTTCAAAGAGAGGAGCGAACTGTTGGGGAGGGGTGGGCAGGGAGAAAAGTGTAGCAATGAATGAATGGAAATAAAAAATCTCTTAAATATTTATTAAAATGAGTAAAAATGGAAAAAATGGGCTTCAGCATGTGGGAGATGAGGATATATGATAGTTGATGATGGTGCAGCATAGGGCAAGGTTTGGATACTTTGTTATAGGATTGGTGTGAGTTGTAGTCCACTTGACAAAACATAACAACAACATCATTTTTTACTCTCTAGAATTAGAGAAAGTTATTAAAATAATTTCATTATTATTAAATAATATTTTAATAATAAGTTGTTTATTATTATTATTATTATATTAATAATAAATTTAATCCCGGGGCCAATTGGGAGCTGTCATTTAGAGAAAAGCAACTGGGAACAAAGTGACAGGAGGAAGTTCTAGATGGTCCAGGCAAAGGCTGAGGGCATAAAAAAGCCCTAGCTGTCTGTCCCTGCCTCCGATGCTCATGTTTATCACTTACAGGTTCTATGTTCCGAAATTGTACACGAAGTGGCTGGTCTGGAGCCTTCCCCAGGCCTGATATAGCCTGTGGGATTGACATAAACAGTTTGTTCAATGAAAAGCAGGTAAGTTTGTCAACTGGCCTGCTCACGACCCAGACAAGAGAAGATGGGATGCATGTATGTGGTCAAGAGGCTTGGAAGCTGCATAGGCCCACCCCTTTGCTCTCTTGGGCTCAGAGAGCCTGTGTCACTGTCACTGTCTGTTAACTGGGGATTCTATCTCTCAGGTGTCAGGGCCCTGAGGGGGTGCTTATGAAGAATGTGAAACATGAAAAATCACTGTATATCACTCCAAAAGAGGTGGAGGATTCCACCTGAAGAGCCCTCCCATCCTTTTCTATGACATATCCTTTAATATCCCACTTGGCTATGAACTGCAAGAAGCCCTTCCTTCCCTTGCTCCAGGCTGATCCCCATAGTGCTGACTTCTCTGACTGATAAAGGAGTTCCTTGTAGGTACTTATTCACTCAGCCCACATTTATCAAACACCTACTATGGGCTGACATTGGTCCATGAAAGGAGATAGAGCAGGGACAGAATAAAAATCACACTCAGCACAGTGCCTGGCACATACATAATGCCTCAACATGCTTGGTGTCATATTGAATGAACCCCTCCCATGGGTCAATGGGTCCATACATTAAATCCTCAAGTCAACTCAGTGAGTTCACTGTTTTTCTCCCTTTTGGAAATGAGGAAATGGAAGACCACAGACTAAGGAACAAACTTACGAAGTTGTGGAGGCAGGATTCAAATGAAGCCTGCCATCTTATGCTAAGGGATCTGGGTGCACAGGGAATGGTACTGCAAACACAAAGGCTACGCATTTCTTATGGTTTGAATACACCAGCAGCAGCTCAGGACAAAGATGGTCAGTCTTTCATGTGATTTGTAGACTCTGAAAACCTGCCAGAGGTTTCGAGTGAGTGAATTGAGTGAACGATCTTCTGCCTTCCTGTTAATATCTGCATCCTCCCCAATGTTAGCAGTTCTACTAGCCAGACTCCCCTTAACATGTGCTTATCTAGATAAGGGCTGGAAAACCGTGGTTCTGGGTGTAAATGCATCCCACTGCATACATCTGTAAGTGTAGAGTTTTATTGATTAAGGGACAGTGAGTTTATGCTGATAAGGAAAGAGTAAGTCCAAAGCAAGAGCAACAGTGGTAAGAGTGGTTGCACTACTTCAGTGTCACTGAATGGTACATGTTGATGTTGCTGCTGAGTACTGTCCAATGAAAACCAACCCATAGCTGACCCTTCAGTGGGTTGTCAGAGGCTAAAAATTGCAGAGGAGGATATTGTCCATCTTTCTTCTATGGAGCAGCTGGAAGCTTCTAACTGTGTGCCTTCAGATTGGCAGCACAGCTCCTTGTAACTAGGCTGCCAGAGCTTCCTTAATCATACATGTGAAAACATTGAATTGATATCTGTGTTCTGCTGTGAACAATATTATTCTAAACAATAATAATGAAATAAATTACTTTAGCATTGGTAATTAATTATATAAAATATAATGAATATCAATGATTGTATAAAACACAAAGTACATGTACAAAATTCAGTGTGTATGAATGTTTACATGCAAACCAATAAAAAGAATTATTTTTCAAAAGTATTGTTTCTCACAGGATCCACGTCTCACCATACACAAAAATCACCTCAAGGTGGATAAGAGACTTGAGAATAAAGCGCCAAGCCATAAAGTTCATAAGCGACAACTGGGGATCAAGGTTAGAAGCTCTAGTCAACAGTATAAAGAGACTGCCAAATACAGCTGGAAATGAACAATTTGAAGATAAAATTGGTGAATGGGACCTTCTCAAGATTAATCCCTGTGTTCATCAAAAACTTTTTTTTCAACATGGTGAAAAGAAAACCTACTGACTGGGAAAAATATTTGGCGATACAATCTCAGACAAGAGTTTCATAACAAAATTTTATAGAATACTCCTGGGCCTCCACAAGGAAAAAGTATGATAACCTAATTACAAAATGGGCAAAAGACATGGAAAGAATTTTCACAGAGAAAGATATTAAAATGGCCAACAGACCTATGAAGAAATGCTCCAAATCACTGGCAATAAGAGAGATGCAAATCAAAACCGCAATGAGATACCGTTTCACTCCAGTAACAGTGGCAAAGTTTAATAGGAGAGCAAGTAATAAATGTTGGAGAGGATGTGGTGAGATAGGAACTCTTACACATGATTGGTGGGATTGTACAATGGTATGACCACTCTGGAAGGCAGTTTGGCTCTTCCTCGAAAAGCTGAACACAGAAATTCCATATGACCCAGTTATTCTATTGCTTGGAAAATACCCCAAGAAAATGAGAACTGAGGCTCAAATAGAAATTTGTACATCAATGTTCATAGCAGCATTATTCAACATTGCAAGAACATGGAAACAGCCCAGATGTCCAACCACAAATGAATGGATTGAGTAGTTGTGGTACATTCATACGATGGAACACTACACAGCACATAGAAGCAATCATTGTGTGAATTATTACCTAACTTGGGAGGGACTGGAGAGCATTATGTTGAGTGAACTAACTCAGTCCCAAAAGGACAAATACTTTATAATATCATTATTGTAGAATGAGTATTAGGATCCAAGGGGGAGGGGAGGGTGGGTATAGAGGGGTAAGGATGGAGGTTGTTGTTGTTATGTGCCATCGAGTCGCCTGCGACTCACAGCAACCCTACGTACAACAGCCCTAAACTCTGATCTGTCCTGTGCCAATCGCACTGTCTCTGACACTCCCATCCCAATTATCCCACTCACTGACTCAATCCACCTCATAGAGGGCCTTCCTCTCCTGCGCTGTCCCTCCACCCTCCCAAGCATGATGCCCCTCTCTAAGGACCGGTCTCTCCTCACAACATGTCCAAAGTATGTTAGAC